TCAGTGTGCATCGACTTCCTATACACTTGAGTTTCCAATTTTTCGGCAATGGTTCTACCGACTAAAACATTCAGGAATGGCAGTTTGTTGTTTAATTCCCTCTCCATTGTGAATCTGATATCATTGAAAATGTTGTTGATCAAATTTTAAGTGTTTTCTCAGTCATCCTTTTTGAATAATGACAAAAGTACAGTCTACATAGTGGATCCAATTTTTTGGTTTGATCACAGGTAACATGATGGCTTAAAGTCTCTGCATCCCTGCTTTTTCAATCAATTTCATTGAAGTTCCTTCCACAAACTAGTTCATCGGGACAAACTGTTAAATCACTCAGGGACAACTCACTTCATATCGAAGTTGGTGCTGAGCATGCTTTCTAAAAAGACAAGGAAAGTTTCACCATTTAACCACTCACCTCAATGAATATAACACAACCAAGATCATCCACCTGAGCCACAAATATTCTTCACCATTTCAAATTCTCAACTGTCTCTCTCTCTTTAAATATACATACAAATGGATGAAAGGAACTGCATTAGGATAACCGATATCCGGATTAATTGCGGAAGCAGTGACTGGAAGCCACCATCCTATCTGTGATCAAACCGAAATTTTCGATTTGTTATGTTGAAGACACTTTTGTCATCATTAAAAAAGATGATATAGAAAACACCCACAATTTGATCAACAAAGTTTTCACTGACATCAAATTCACAATCGAGAAGGAGTCAAACAACCAACTACCATTCCTGGATGTTCTGGTCAATAGAGCAAATACTGACTATGTGCTCAACTACAGCAGCAACAACCCACAAGGTCAGTTGCGTGCAGACTCTATTCAGAAGAGCGAGAACACACTGCAGTACAACAACTTCACGGAGAAAAGAAGAAAATTACTTGGTGTCCATCCTGAAGAAGAACGGCTACCTATGCAACTTTATCAGAAGATGACCATCCCGTACATCATCAACTACAAAGTCATCTATAGAAATCAATAAATGCATCATCCTACCATACATAAAGAAGATGTATCAGAAACCACTACAAGATTACTGAGACCACTTGGAATTTGTGTGGCTCATAAACCAACAAATTCCCTCCAAACACTATTATGCTGACCAAAAGATGTGACAAGCAAAGAAGACAAGCTAAATATCATTTGCGAAATCAACTGTAATAACTGTAGTCAGCACTACATTGGACAAAGTGGTCACCCTCTTAGCCTTCGTCTACATGGACACCAATTGGCTATTAAACGTCACACATGACATTTCATCACTCATTTCAATGCATGTGGATAATTATGGACATGAATTCAATTTTGACAATGTAGAAATTTTGAACAGAGGAAACACAAAGAATATCAGGGAATTCCTAGAGGTTTGGCATTCAAGTGAGTCAGCAATCAACAGATGTATAGACGAAGACCTAATCTACCAACCAATAATAAAGATGGAAAACGACAGAAAGGTCAGAGGTGAAGCACAGGGATAGCCAACAGTAAAATCTATACAGTCAATGACACAACAATCAAAAGAAAACAACCAATCATAGACCGCTTCGTCAAGGCAAGCTACTAAATAACTCACGTAGGGATATTTACAGCTCACTTCATACTGAATTTAGTGTTGATGATGTCGTCTAGAAAGACGATGAAAGCTTCAAGATTAAGCAACCCACCTCAGAGAACACAATGCAACCATGACTGTCAGTATGCCTATATTCCAGAATATGACAGAGAGTAAATATTTGGTCTATTCACTCACGGTTAAGTCTGACTTATGCGTGGTTTTCTCACCTTTGCTGCTTACGAGTTCCTCTTAAAACTTAGAATATTAGACATTATATCCATCCTATTGATTCTTCTACAGTCAACACAGGAGGACTTCTCGCCTTTCTTGAAGAATGGGACAATAGTACCATTAATAATATTTTTATTTTCACGTTAGGAGTTTAAAATGAGGGAAGCCAGTTTACAGGCATCATCACACTGATATATATTGGAAAATCTACAAGAGTTTTGCGGAGTTTCTTAAGTTCTATTAAAAACCTCAGAAGATTCTGCTAGTTATGAAACAAACAAGGAAATATCACTTATCAGCATATACAGTGTTAAAGTTTTTTATCGTTTTTAATCATACTTTTTTTCACCCTAGGTGGTACGAATGTCACGCGAAATTCCAAATTTCCGTTACAAGCAGTCGACATGTTTGACTTGTCTTCATTATGCCATGTCATGCCAGATAAACGTCGATTTTGCCATAAATTCTTATGCTGATAACTTCATAGACCAAAAGAACCCATATTGACGAGTTTGGGAATCAGTACGTTTCCACAAAATCATGTAATCCAAATAAATATTTATATCCATCTATTTCCCTCTGTTCACGTGTTACCATTCACAACAATATAGATTTATGCCATTAGTGTTTTTGTGCCTGAGGAATAAACATTTGAAGGACTGGAGACCAGTGCCAATGGGTTTTTCATACTGTTCATGTTAAGGTAAGCAGCATTATCAAGCAGTTATATTCACTGTTAGATGAAGTACTAGAGAAGTCTGCTGCATAGCGTTATTATGAATATGTTTAATTCAGAGCCAATAGGTGATTCGATTTCTTAGATTTAACTGTCCATCCAGATTTTCGTTGCCATTGTGACCGTCCAGAAATCTGAGTAATTCGAGGATAGATAAATGTTCATGTGGTTGAGAGTTATATGAGTGACTGAGACCAGTCAGAGTGGACCCCTTTTTGATTCACATATACTAGCTAGCACTTCAGCTAACCTGACAAATACCTATAGTGCTAACGCAACTGACCTTACCTCCCTTTCTCATTTCAGGTTACTTATAGGATCATCAACATCTGCAAGATTCAAAAGTCATATCTTAGTGTTCCATTAAGATTCTAACTGGACAGCTGACAACGAAGTAGTAGCTGGAGACCAGCTGAGCTGTTCCCAAAATGTTCTGCTGCAAGTGAATCACAGAATGATCTTTTTCCACCATGGTCTCATTAATGGTTGATTTTTTACTCTAGTTTGCTTGAAAATTTCAAACAACTGCCAACCGTTACCTCTGCCAGCTGCGTTTTCTATTTCTGCTGCCTTCGTCACACACTACTGTTCTGTGTGGAGAATATTTGCAGATCAGGTGGATGGTCTTAGTTGTATTGTGTTCTCAGAGCTGGGTTGTTTAATCTTGAAGCTTTCATTGTCTTTCTAGACGATATCATCAACACTAACCACTGAGACCATGTGAATATCTACCCTCATAATGCATGATTTACTGCTAACCTACATAATTCTTCAATACAGGCTATTTGCAACATGTTAAAAAATATAGAGAGCTCGTTACCACATTCCTGCTGGCTGAAAGCATAATGAGTAGTGGAAACAACTTAAACGTAGACTGAAAAGAAGTCTTCAAAATAACACAGAACAGTCTTGGTTGTATTGTTCTCTAAGCTGGGTTGTTTAATCTTGAAGCTTTCATCGTCTTTCTAGACGATATCATCAACACTAACTTCAATATGAAGTGAGCTGTAAATATCTCTCCGTGAATGATTTAGTAGCTTGCCTTGACGATGTGGTCTGTGTTTGGTTGCAGTTATTCGGTGGTTTATATCTGACACTCTTCGGCAGAACATGCTGACGTAGGCACTCATGGAGAAAGAATAGTTGTTATTTTGTGGAAGTTTACCTTTTGGAGAAGTCCTCCCATCTTCGAACAACTTGAAGCGTGTTACGCTCATATAATTGTGAAATAGTGGGGAACATTTGTAGCTCAGGTAGATGGTCTCTGTGAGTGCCTACGTTAGCATGTTCTGCCTAAGGGTGTCAGATATAATCCACCGATTAACTGCAACCAAACACAGACCACATCGTCAAGGCAAGCTACTAAATCATTCACGGAGAGATATTTACAGCTCACTTCATATTGAAGTTAGTGTTGATGATATCGTCTAGAAAGACGATGAAAGCTTCAAGATTAAACAACCCAGCTTAGAGAACAATACAACCAAGACTGTTCTGTGTTATTTTGAAGACTTCTTTTCAGTCTACGTTTAAGTTGTTTCCACTACTCATTATGCTTTCAGCCAGCAGGAATGTGGTAACGAGCTCTCTATATTTTTTAACATGTTGCAAATAGCCTGTATTGAAGAATTATGTAGGTTAGCAGTAAATCATGCATTATGAGGGCAGATATTCACATGGTCTCAGTGGTTTCCGCTATTGTAGTGGACAACTTTGAAGTCATATGGACTTAGTTACTTTTGAATTTCTCTGTTTGACGAAATAAATTAATTGTGAATGTCCGCTTGATTAAAACATCTAAATTATTTAAATCCTATCACCCGACTGTAACCTTTCTCGTAAAGGTTTTCTCAAAGTTTTAACCTGAAATCATGATCTATACGACCAGCTATAGTCGGAGTGAGGAAAGATATCCACAGACAACATTCATTAATGTTTGCCTTATACCGCCAAGTAATAAATTGTAGAATCTCGATTTCATGGCTGGATGGCGATAAGGTCATTCCGAGACAAGACTATCCTGTAGTCAGTTCCTCATGAGATCGTGGGTGTGCGCTGTTGATGAGTCACAAACTAGAAACACTCAACTGGTCAGTATTGTCAAGTTTTTGTTATTTGTCTATTTGACATCATTTGTAATGAAAACTGCATTAGAGCTTTTATTCAGTCGAAATCAACGGAGGTTGGCTAGTCGACTGTGAATAGTTAAACTCTTTTCACTATGTTGTATCAATACAAATGGTCAACTAATTTGTTAGAATTATTGGTAATCGCTCATTTTATATTTCTTTAGCTAACCAAGTATATTCACAAATCATGAAGTTGATAATTACAAACAATCATGTCAGGATATTCATTCAACCAACAGTTTACAGTTGACGAATTGATCCAATCTTAGTAAGAAGAAGTAAGCAAATAAATTCACAAAACACATTTTTATATCATGAAACTAATCATCTAACCTTTTTCTTTGTCATTTCTTGTATTGGATTTGAAGAGGTATCAAACAATGAAGGATTGTTACCTCTTAGATTTGTTGATAATCTACGCTCTTCTTCTTCTTGTGCATTCCAACCAAGAATTGATCCATATGCCAGTGCACCTAAAGAATTTGTCATGTCTGAATGGGAACCATGTGAATTTCTACTAGCTTCATATTGTTCAACATCTGATTTATAGAAAATAAATGTTTACAGAATAAGTATATGAATTGGTTAGATCAATAGTTGATATGGAGTCATGATTGGAAAAGAAATGAAAATCTAGACTGTGATAGGATTCAAAATAGTGGCATCTAGGTTACCATCCCAATGCTCTTCTGACTAACATACGTGACTCAGATGCTGACTACGTCATTATGGGTAGATACACAGTTATATGATTTATAAATATGGTCTGGTGATCATCAGTTTACGTCTACAGTATTTATTCTCGCCTCATTGGTAATGCTAGTGTGATTATAAGATATAAATAAAACAACATGAATGTTTACTAATTGTATACAGTACCGAATTTATGAGATGAAATATAAATCTATTAGTGGAAAGAGGTTGTCTTATTATTTACAAAAGTTAAAAGCCTTTACTGATTAAACCATTGAAGGATATTTTCAATTCAGTTGAATGATCTTGGTTGTGTTGTATTTTGTGAGCTGGATAGCTTAATCGTGGAGCTTTCATTGTCTACCTAGACAATATCATCAGCACCGAATTCAATCTGATAAACTTAGCCATCAGGATTGCTCCATATGGGATTCATTAGGTCATCATAACAAAAAAGTGTGTAACTGGTAAGTTCCTTTGATTGCTGTGTTATTGACTGCACTGACTTTCCGAATGGTCGTTGTTCTGCTCTACTGATTGATAGATTGGGTCTACGTCTATACATTCACAGATTTCCGACTGACCTGAATGCCAAGCTTCTATGGATTCTCTGTGATTTTGATGGAGTTGACTTCTGTAAGCTGGATTGCTTAGTTGTGGAGTTTTCGTTGCCATTCTGGACAATATCGTCAGTACAAACTTCAGAAAGAAGTGAGCAAAGAGAATTTCTCCACAATTTATTAAGTGGTTTGTTGTGATGACCTTGTGTATGGTTGATTGCTTCTGATAAGATCTTGTGTTTGTCCCGATGTTTATTTCGACAAGTTGATCTGCTGATGTAAGTTTTGACTTTCTTGTTGTTACTTATTGGTTGATACGTTGGGTCAACATCAAGTTGTCTGTTGATCGTTAAATATTCTCTGGCATTTTTGATATCTCCTCCGCACTGTATTTGCTGCGTCATCCTGGAGAGACTTAAAAACGCACTTCATTCAGAATTACCATCGGAACAGGTCGGCTGTCTTCAGGAAGAAAACATCATGTGCGGATCATATTGCAACGCTACGCTACGCATCATCAGAGTACAGAGTATAGAATGACAGTCAACTCAACTCAACCTCAAATTCATTGACTTCGAAAAGACCTTCAACAGCGTCGACCGAGAAGGATTTCGCCAGGCAGCTGCTGCTTCAACACTACGGTCTCAGTACCACAAATCTTTATCAACATAATTCAACAGCTATTCGCCATATCATCCATGCTACATGTCAAGTGATTCACAATGGAATGTTCAGTTATGCTGTTGAAGTGAAGATACGAGTAAGACACGACTGTCGTCTACTATCACCAATCATATTCATGATTGTGTTGTGTTCTACTGGACTGGACTGTATGATGCAACAAAATGTGAGTGTGTGTGAGAAGGTGGTTATACACTGGCTGGACAGATGAGAAGACCCCAGAAGGATATTTGGATTTCACTGATGATGATTGATGTCAAATGTCTTGTCGAACAGACTCGAAGATCTACAGGCTAAAACTAACAAGTTGTCAAAAGAGGCGAGGCAGAGCAGCGAAGGAAGACAGTACTTCCTTCAGGTGAAAGTAGGTAAGATAGAGATGACAGATGAAGATACCAAACAACAACAACCACAATCACAACAAGCACAAATCAACAATCAACATCGACGGGAGAAACCTAAAGGGAGTAGTCTCTTTCATATACCTAGGCAGCATCGTCCCGACTACAGGGGGCGCAGGCACAGATGAGGACGACAAATTCAGCATCGAAAAGACAGCAAGACAGGCGTTTATCAACTTGAAATCAGTGTGGAGATTTGTTGTTCTGCACTGCACTGCACTGGACTGCACTCAGCATAAAGCGTGAACGAAATCCGGATTTCCAACACTAGTGTCAATCATGTCAGTTCTTCTATGTGATGGTTGAAAGACTTGACGTCATGACGTCATGAAAAGCATTCCCTTCCAACAAACTACAGACATTCATCACATGAACAGCTGTCACCTACACTCACTCGAGACTGACACTGATGACCTGATGGATGGCCAGAAGAATACGAATGAGCAAGGTGGGACTGTGGCTGGCTGGCTGGATGGATGGATGGATTGATGAATGTCTGTCAGACTACGAACCAACCAATCGAGAACCCATCACCCAACAAACATGCATCAGAAGAAAGTGGAGATGGATTGGATTGTATTGAAGATACAGTGATAGGACCGACTGGGGATACTAGGTGCCTAGTCAAGCCATGCCCTTGAGAGAGAGCCAAATGGGAAGTGACGATTTGAGCGTCGGAGGAGAGGGTGACGAGGAGGAGATGTTGTGAGGAAGAAATGGAAGCCTGTGGGCAGTCGTTGAGACAGGATGAAAAGATTGGAGAGAAGAGAGTGAAATGGTGATGTGCTACTGAAGCGTATGTTTGACTAGAAATCCAAGGGAGAAATAATAATGATAATAAAAATTTCTGGATTCATGTTCATAGTTGTTCATGTGCATTGATATGAGCGAAGATATGTCTTGACGCTTCCCTGCTAATTGGTGTTCATGTAAACGGATCCTAAGAGGGTGACCAATTTGTCCGATGTTTTGTTTTGCGATTTCTGCAGTTTATTTTGTAATTAATCTTTTGTTTGTCTTCCTTTGGCATTGTATCTTTTGTCCCGCATAACAAGGAGTGAGGAGATTTTGCAGGTCTGTGAGATAGACTGATGAATTCAAGTGGCTTCGATAATGTAGTCTCAATCTCGGAGAATATTTCCATGTAGATTGGGACGACCTGTTAATTAGTTTTCGCGGCTGACTTCTTGTTTGATGACGAACTATGTAAACATTCCCTCATGAAGTTGCTTGGATACTCATTCTTCAGGAAAATAATCATCAAACAGTTTCCTTCTTTTTTACTCTGGAGCGTTGATGTACCACAGTGTGTATTCACTCTTCTGAATAGTGTTTTTATCCAACAAATTTTGTGTGTTGTTGTGTTGTTGTAATTGTCGTTGAGGGCTTGATCCATGACAGTCGGTTTCCTGTATACTTCAGTTTCCATTTCTCCCGAATCTGTCCCAGTGTTCAGAACATCTAAAAATGCAAGTCTGTTATTTGATTCTTCACTTGTGAATTTGATGTTGTTCTGAGCTGTAAATACTTTCCATCATTCGCTGGCATACTTTCTGCCTCCTCTCCCTGTTGATGATAACGAAATTTTCAGAAAGGTGAGGAAATTTCTTTGCAGTTTGTTGGAAGGGAATGCTTTTCATGACGTGTCAAGTCTCGCAACCATCACAGAGAAGCACTGACATGATTGATACTAGTGTTGGAAATCCGGATCTCGTTCACGCTTCATGCTGAGTGCAGTCCAGTGCAGTGCAGTCTAGTGCAGTGCAGTGCAGTCTGGTATTGTGTAGTGTAGTGTAGTGTAGTGCAGTACAGTACAATAAATCTCCACACTGATTTCAAGTTGACGAACACCTGTCTTGCTTTCTTTCCAGTTTTGACTTTGACACCCTCATCTGTGCCTGTGCCTCGTGTAGTTGATAAGATGTTGCCAATCTAGGTAGGTATGTGAACGAGACAACTTCGTTTATATTTCTCCCGTTGATGGTGATTGGTGTTTGTTTTTGTTGGTTGTGTTGAGTTGAGTTGTGTTGCGTTGCGTTGGGTATATTCATCTTTCATCTGTGTCTTCTCTATTTTCATCTGGGGGAAGTCCCATCTTCCTTCTTTTCCTCGCCTCTTCTGCAAACTTATTGTTTTTCGCCTGTATATCTTCGAGCTTGATTGCAATAATGGAATATGAATAACAGTACTCAAATTTTGTGTAAACATTTGAAAAGCGAAGTTTTTATAACCTTATGGAATACCGACTTGCATGATATAATCGCTTCATTTTTGTATTTTTAACTCCCTGACAACAAATGAGTCAGTCAGCATTCCACCATAGTTAACGATGAAGAATATCCTGCTAAACTGATAAATTTTATTCACATTTGATGATAGTCACCTTTTAAATTAAATGGATTCAACAGCCCAGATATAACATTATGTGATTGTACCAGATAGATTAAAACGGTGTGAACAGCTGACAGTCCGTTTTCACCCTTACTTAATTTTGAATAGTCTCTGGACCATAAGCGGTCTCCCAATGTAGTGCAAAATTTGTCAACCGTAGAAAACTTTGACATGAAGTTTGACTAATAAAGGTTAAGAACATTCGAAGGCTAAGGATCTTCACTACCGTTGTCTTGATAACATCCAATGTGTCAGGCAGAACAATCAATAAAGGACCGTAGAAGTTAAGCGTACAGTCTTAGACAAATGTTCCTAGTTAGGTGATGACACTCTGAACAACGCTGGCTGAGATGGCGTCAAATTGTATCGATTTTAACTCTAAATATTGATTGAAGTCGGTTAACTGAGATGTGGAGGCATTTCGAGACTGAAATATAAACTTCCATTTTGAAGTTCATGAGAAAGTCCAACTGAATATAGATGATAGACTGAAAAATTGATCAAATTAGGAAATGTCCATTCGTGTATCATTATTATTTTTATCATCTTCAAGATAATATCTCCTTCCTTTATTCCTTTAACCCTGCTTCTTTTTGTAGGCCAACCCGTAAAACAACCATGTGGAGAAATATTGTCATTTGCTGGGTACATAAATGTCGGATTAAAATTAATCATTCAGGAAGCGTTCAACTGATGAAATCATTGTGTTATTGAAGAATTTCATTATTACTGCAATAAATTTGATATTCCCTACGGACTAACATCATCTGGAGAACCACTGAAACCATCAGAGCGCTGAAGAGCTACCTATTTCAAGTGCGTAGCTCCTCAGCAGTACGCATCCATGACCCCGAAACCGATCGAACCCAGGGTCTTGAGATTCTGTGGCGAGGATGTTACTATTAAACTACTGGGTGGGAATCAAGTGGTTCACATTTTCTCGCTTCTATTAGTTCACGACACAGTGCGATTTCAGTCCGTTAACGTCGTTGAGTACGTGTTCTCCCATCCGACTTGGTTTGCCCCACCAGTCACGACTTCTCATTACAACCTCCGAAATTTCATCTCGAAGTAAGTGACCATAGGACTGCAACTCAATGCCTCAATGTGAAACTAAAAGTTCCAAATTAGATCCATAGTGGGGTCATGGGTACGCAGTAGTGAGAGGCCCCAAACTCGGACAAAACAGCTGTACAGTACCTTCAGGTTTTCGGTGGTTTCTTCAACTGATATCTGCCTATGATGTCCCGAAACCTCCAAAATTGTATTACAAGATTATTGATGGAAATCTCACACATGAAGTAGTAAATACATTTCAGTGACTAGTGCGGTTTCTTTGTTGTCATTTAATTTTGTTTACCGCCAAAATTAACAACATTCATTCAGTATACATATTCGATTTGGTGTTGATTCGATGAACAAAGATTCAGTAGTCAATCTCTCTCTCTCTCCACCTAGTTATATTAGACTTGCGTACAGTGACTTTATCCCATCCTATTGTGTGGTTGTGTGTTAATGCACGCATAGCAACAGGCGAGTTTATTTTCTAGATTATTGATCTTATTTAGGTGTGTTATTCTATATTTAGCTAAATGTTCGGCTATTCTAACCGCTAGTTTGACTTATAGGTCAGAACCTAAATAAGATCAGTAATCTAGAAAATAAACTCACCTATTGCTATGCCTGCATTAACACATAACCATAAAATAGGGTGGGATAAAGCCACTGTACTCAAGTCCAAGTGGAGAGTGAGATTGACTACTGAATCTTTGTTCATCGAATCAACACTCAACACATGTAATTGAAATGACGCAACACGTATACCAGAGATATAGAAAATTTTACTACCAATACAACCAAATTATATAAAGTGACGTAACTATAAAAATCATATGTTGAAAGTAGTGTGATTACATACTGATATGCTGATGAGCAGTAGTAATATTTGCTCGAAACGTCATAAAGTAAATAATACTAGATCATTACTGTGTGTTATAAATCAAATAAACAAATTTAATATGGAATTAATTTCTACCACAGTGCCCAAGTTTTACACCTACATATTCGAATTGTTTTGATTTTCTCACCTAATTTACTCAGACATTTTCCATGCAACTATTTCACTAGAAATCATACCCTTCAAAATCTAACAATATTCAAGTTGTTCGCCTATTACCTTTTCCTACTATTACAGTTAGAAGCTTGTTATTAAGGCTTCAAAATGGAGTTCACTATTGAATATTCACTCATTTCAGGTATATAGACGCAGAAACTGGTTGACATAGGGTGGCATCAACAGTTTTTGTCATTCCTATGTAATATGTGACACAGATGAGGATGCCAAGAGGTTGTTAAAAAGGCTTAATACCGTACAAAATCATATCAGTCTGATATGTGAGAAAGAAAACGACCATCAACTTGCATTTCTTGATATACTTTTGTGCCGGAGGGAAGATGGATCTATAAGACGATCAATATATAGGAAGTCTACTTGGACAGGACAGTATTTGAATTCCCATAGTTTTTGTCCGATGAAATATGGTAAGATGCTTGCTCAATAGAATCCAACGTATTTGTACATCGTATACGATGGATGATGAGACTAAGTTTCTGACAGACACTCTAGTGGAAAACGGTTATCCATTACAGTTTGTCAACCATTGTAAAAAAACAGTTGACTCTAAAGCCTACAGTTCCCTCGGTCCCGAAGAAAAGCATATTTCTTAAAGTACCATACAGAGGGGAAACAAGTAGTATGATATTGAAGCAGAGATTAAGATCTGTTATCAGTAAAACATACTATGCAGCTCAGCTTATCATTGTTGAGACGAAAAAACACCTGCTTCACCACAAACCTCAACCTCGCACAAATGATTACATCACATCCTACTGCGTTTACCAATTTACATGTATGTGTGGGCACACATACACAGGGAGGAGTAATCGTTCAATGCAGACTAGGGTGGGTGAACATATCCCCAAATGGCTAGAAAAAGTTTAACACACAAACTTTGATAAGTCCAGGTGACAGACATCCATCGTCATCTATAGCAAAATATATCATTGAAATGAATCACAGGGTTAATACAAAAACAGCGTTTAAGATATTATACAGGAATAATCAGGGGGCGCATACTGAAGTTTGCCGAAGCGTTAGCCATTCGTAAACTTAAGCCCCGCTGTGTGTACAAAAACCACTTGTTGTTTCACTTAATTTACCTTGGTAATCCTTACTTGATTACATTACCAAGACTAGTGTCACAACCTTTTCATATTCCAAGTTGTTATTCATCGTAGACTGACATCAGTTGGAGGAACAAAGGAAACCTGGGAGCACCGGACAGCTGTTTCGTCCTACTATGGGACTCCTCAGCAGTGCGCACCCACGACCCCGCCAGCAGGGATCGAACCCGCGGCCAGCGCGTTACCATTGAGCCACTGGGTCAGAATCCAATGCTCCATATTTCCAACTTCCATTAGCTCACGATATATTTCACTATATTTCACCTTTAATTTTCATATATAAATTGACTTGACAAGTAAATGTGTCAGTGATCAGATTATTCGAAATGTATTGCGCAAATACACATCACATTGCTCAAATAATCTTTGTCTTCTAATAGCGTTATTGAAATTCCTATATTTGTTTTTCGCGTAGATTCAAACTTCTTATTTCTACATTTGGTGCTTTTGTTAACTGCTTTACTTGTTTTAACATTTATTAGGAAGTAATGATTTTCTTTAATTTGTATATCAGTAAACGAAAAAATGTTTGTGTTATTTTAGTAATTCTTCAAATATACTCGTTTTAATGAATAGATTATAGAAGAGCAAATGATATCAAGATGTGTATGATTAATCGATAATACAAGATAGAATAATGATCTTTGTAAATGATTACCTGTATTTTCAGGTTTCTGTGATGTAGGTATTTGTACCCATGAATTAGTTTTCAATTTATCTACACCTTGTAAATATTCATCTTTCTGTGAATTAGATTTTGTATTCAATGAATTGTAAGCATTTGTTTCAGCTAGAAGTGTTTTTACAGACCAATCAAGATCTCTAGATGCTCGTACAAGAATTTCATTTGCTCGTCGAAAAGCTAACTCCTTCTGTTTTTTGTAAAAAAAAAAAGTTAAAGAATATAACATATTACAGCTAAGGATGATATATGTATATATTCTAGGGATAATATACTAGAAAATCATTCGGTTTTAAATTCTCCTGGTAAAAATGATCCATGAAACGATGAATCCATAAGATACAATGAAGTTTCACCGTATGTTAATTGCCGAATATAAAGTCAGAATCTTGATCCTTGAAAATCATAAAGTGATCAAAGATATATTTGATATATCCTTAGGCTTACGCTTCACCATTGAAAGTTGCTTGATTCCTCGAAAATAGAAGAAAGCGTCAAAGACAAGAAAAAAGATTTATTGTTAAATGTAATGTGTACAAAACGTAATGGTTTTTATACATTTTTGATGGCTTTGTTATGTTCGATACTTTTCTAGAAAACCTTTTAACCAATCTGAAACTCACAAAAATGATCACTTGATTTCTGGAGTATTTTTGGGAAGCTATGATTGGTTTTGAAGCCTTTCCGAAGAATTGCAGGCTTCTTTGTGGAATTTAGGGTATGTTATCATACTGCATAACAATATTTCTATTTTAGAAGTAGTATTCATCATGGACTGACATCAGTTGGGGAACCATTGAAAATCTGGGAGCACTGGACACCCGTTTTCGTCTTAGTATGCGAATCCTCATCAGTACGATCCCACGACCCGGCTAGGGATCGAAACCAGGACCTTCAGGTTTCATGGCGAACCCGTTAACCATTCAGCCAAATGGGTCGGTTTCCAGTGGCAGTCACGCTATGTCGTGAATTGACTGAAGTTGGAGATTATGAAACACTGGAAACCGACCTACTGTTTGAATGGTTAACGCGTTTGCCGTGAAACCTGAAGGTAACTGAGTTCGATCCGTAGCCGCATCATGGGTGTGTACTGATGAGAAGTCCCATACTAGGAAGAAACAGGTGCCCAGTGCTCCCAGATTTTCAATGGTTCCCCAACTGATGTCAGTCCATGATGAATACTACTTCTAAAATAAAAATCCCCATTCATCTCAAAAAATATTTCTATTTATTTAGAACCTAATAAACAATTCTACGATAGCAAGGGATCATGCTCAAGATGATCATTTCTTACGGCAAGCATTTCATCATTCAATCACCTGTCTGAAATCCTGTGGTTGCCATTTTAGTATTTCTGTCATTTTGCATACTGCTAAGGGTTCTAAAAGCAGAATGGTACTCTGGCTGATATTATTCTGTGATGAAAACTACTGCGAAAACAACCATTCTCTTAAACATCTCCAAAGTGAACGGTAATTTTATATAGATCATATGGCCTAAACAGTGAATTTAGCTTTGGGAAAACTGTGGCTTTAATACAATACACTGTAAGTCATTTTAACTAATGGAGAGCTCAATAAATTGTTGAAGTAACTGTTGTATACTAAGTTTTTCGATAAAATGAATTCGTTTCACCTGGACACTGGTACGTTTGACAGACTAGTTTCTGACTACTTTTTGAGCTTAAATTATTTTTCAGGCACAACTTTTAACTTCAGTGGGAACTTTATCTTCACTTATGCTTTACAGATGAAACTAGCAGTCGGAAGTATAGACACAAATCAACATTCATAAGCTTATTAACTTATTTCGGATTCGTCAGCTGCAGGTTTATGAACTTCATTGAGTGATGTTTTTCCCACTGAAGTTCAAAACTAGTACCTATCACTTCAAACCCCAAAGTTTTATCCACTAGGTCAATGAGACATGTTAATCACTTCTTTTGCAGTGTTGTTTTTTGTTGATACTTGAGATTTCCTCTTCATATACAAAGTTGGATTGCTCAACGAAATGCTTTTCATGAATCCCAAAACATTGAATATTTAGACAGTATCTAGGTATTTGCATAAAAATCCATCTGATAACAGTGATTGAGCAATACAACACAATATTATTATTATTATTATAAATTGCCCCTTGGGTTCCTAGTCGAACATAGGGCTTCAGCAGCACATTACCATTGCACTCTCTTGTCTCCAGTCTTTTCAACGTGGCTCCATGGATACCCACAACTGTTTTCATTTCTTCCTTACACCATCTCCTCCATGACGCTCAGCTCGTCGCTTCCAATTTGGCTTCCACTCGAGAGCCTGGTCTCGCGCGTGATGTCCACAAACCATCTTCTCAGTGTATGTCCAATCCATATCCACTTCATTCTGCTGCATATTTGTTGAGCAACAGGTTCTTGGTTGGTTCTCTGACACCCAGACAGAGTTCCTTGTTGCTTATTCTTATAATTTTCGCCATCTGAGCTTCAGTAACAAGCCAGCATAGGCAGTTGTTGATGAATGTCTATAGTTTGTTGGAAATGCCTTTTGTAACGCGCCAAGTCTCTGAACCATACAGGAGCACTGACTTGATGTTGGTGTTGAAAATCTGGATCTTGTTCTTAATGCTGAGTGCAGCAGATCTCCACACTGATTTCAGGCTAATGAAGGCCTGTCTTGTTTTTCCGATCCTGGCTTTGATGACCTCATCCGTGCCGCCTGTAGTTGAGACGATACTGCCCTGTCTAGGTAGGTAAAAGAGGCTACTTGCTTTAAGTTTCTCCACTTGATGATGATCAGTGTTTGTTGTTGTTGGTTGGGTATCTTTATCACCTCTGTCTTCTCTACGTTCACTTGAAGTCAGTCTCGTCTTCGCTGCCTCATCTCTTATGTCAACTTGTTAGTTTTTGCCTGTAGATCTTCAAGTTTGTGTGACGTTAGACATAAGTCATCGGCGAAATCTAAATCTTCTAGGATATTTTCTCCGGGTCCAGCCAGAGTATCTCCCTCTTCTTTCTCCTCACTGTTTGTTGCATGATCCAGTCCACCACAAACACGAATATCATGGGTGATAGTAGAAAGCCTTGTCTTTCTCCTGTCTTCACTTCGCTTCAAAGGCATCACTGAGCTTCCCATTGTGAATTACGTGGCACGTAGAGTCTCCATACACTTGTTGAATGAGGTTGATAAAGGTTTGTGGTACTCCGTGGTGTTGAAACCGCTGCCAAATTACTTGTCTGTTGACGCTCTCGAAGGCCTTTTCAAAGTCGATGAAGTTGAGGTAGAGGGTAGTCATTTAGATTACTCCGAATTAAATGGATTCTTGTCTCTTATTGACCAATGGTCTCTCTAAAATGCTCTCATGTTAAACCTTTATAAATATCAGACTGTTAATTTTAGTCTCAGACCTAAACAAGACCTGTGCGAGCTGCCTAAATCTCATGACTCCTGTTATATTGATGGTATTTGTGCAGAAGTTAAATCCAGTGTTAACTACCTTGAAGTGAGACTTACTTCTGATCCTTGCTGATCTCATATCTTGTTGACTTGTAGAGTAATCTTTCATTTAGCGTATTACATAAAGGAACTGAGACTCTCTGGTATAACTCAACGTCTAACTTTACGATTTATTAATCCCTGAATTTTACTTATTCTCTATTCTCTTCTGTTCCCCGTTGATCTCTCCTGGTCTACTACAAGTGGACTATGTTATATTGTGTAGGGCTTTAAAAGCCGTCAGTAGGGTGAGTGGTGTATCTCTGGCCAAACTGATTAACACAGTAGTTGATAGACATATTAATTTCAGAAAGCAGCAAGTTAGAATAATTTTAACTGAGACTGAGCATTCACTTCATTCACAGCCCCCTCCTTGTATCTGCTGAGGGAGGATAAGAAGAGAATATATGAGACTGCTCGCTCTTACATCTGAATACAAGAATCCGACTGTGTCTTACCTAACAAGCATATTATGTGAGGATGAAATTGTTAGTACAGAACTCACAGATCAACTTTGTTATTATTATTATTAGTCAGTTTACAATATACTCTGTCCATCTTATTGGCTTATTCAATCGTAAAATCTTATCTAGGTGTCTCTTTGAGTGAATTTTTATCACTTGTTCATTTGTCTTCAGTGAAGTGACTTTCATGTAATTAGGATTGTAGTCTTCTCTGCCTTCCGTTCTGCTCACTAACCAGGTATTATCAACCCATATGACTTACCTGAGTAAGTGAAAAGCTACCCTCTGTCCAAACAGCTTACTGGCTAGTAGAACAAGCACCTTTGTTTTCATTGTGTTGGGTGTTAACCACTCTTTATTGATTTTTTATTGCCTACTTTAGGGTATATCCTCGAAACTATCCGTTTGGAAGCATTACGATTCAAATCTTTATGTTTTTACCTACATTCATGCTCACGAAATAGATCTTAATGTCGTTGTTCTGAACTTCTGAATCTTGTCTGTATACCTGCTGCCATTTCTAAATATTACAGTTTGTACTGTATAACCTGTTTTGATAAACTTCATAGGAAGTGATTCCTCGTGGAAGGATGTAAAGAGTGAATTGTTTGAGATATAAACGCTTGTGTACTACTTCAGTCAGTTTCTACTGCATAATTACAGATTCCTTGTTGAATGGATATTTTAGACTTTTTTCACTGACAGTATGAAATCTTCTGAAGATCATTGAATACATTTCATAACACAACTTTTAACTGTAAAGTAACATCTGAAATTGCTGAAAACCTTTTTGGGTGAATTTCAGATTTGACAAACACTACGTAACATGCTATCAGTGTATTTCTATAGTTAGTCAGCTGAGTGATGATGACTATCAAAAATTGGCTTTTGTTGTGAAAAGTCACTGAAAAAAATTACTTTGAAACAAATCATTTAATTGCTGAGCCCAGTGTTATCATACTTTTCCCAGTTATGTTATCCATTATTCAAACAAAAGAATTATGAAGTATTGGACAGAATAAGTGAAGTTTAAAAATCATATGATTTCTTTGATGTGACTATCAGTAATTAGTAATTATACGCCAAACATCCAACAGAATAATATTCCATTACTGTGTACTACATCAAATAAACAATCTAATATGTAGTTATACTCTGCTATACTGTCCAACGTTTACTCTCAAGTTATCCAATAAAAATTTTTAAAATGTAAGTTACACCAGTTTAGTGGAGGAATATTTCAGAAAAGGAAGATTTCACAGTCAAATTCTAGATGTTCGCGGCTTTAAATACAACAGTTTTGAGTCATTCTAAATAGGTTAGCGTACAGGCAGAATCCTAAATAGTGAAATATTATTGTAGGTAGGATCTGAAGGACAATCAATAGGTATTTTTCTTGACTATGAGGAGGCACATACTGCACTTAAGACAAAAGTGAAATCAGAATATTTTTCAAAGTGTTATCCATCATGAACTGACATCATTTGGAGAAAGACTGAGAACCTCTGAGTACTGGATAGCTTTTTCACCTTGCAGTAGGAGTCATCATCCACCAATGATAGAACTCGATTCATCTTAATCGGTGGTGATTACTACCTTGATGAAAAATTATAAACCGAACTTCTATAAATATGTTTGTAAAGCAGTTTAACTACTTATTATTAGCCAGTAGTTAAAATAACAATGAAGATTTACATGGTCTTATCTCACAAATCTGTCAATAGCTATTTTAACGTTTACAAGCATATGTATCCTGTAACAGTTTGTGCATCACCTCAAATGAATTGTTACGTGTGGTTTTTAGAAATCAGCATCTTTCACTTCAAATACTTTTAAAACCGTTCGACCTGACATTTAGGCTTCTGCGCAAATTAATTTTTGAAAGTAACAGTTGAAAGGGTGGTCAGATGGTCAACTTGTTACGCTAGTGTTTACTCATAAGTAGTTTGTTTGTATTTATGAGAAGGAGAATAAAAAGATATTCTTTTGAATCATTTGTTGTTGCTTTGGTAACACACTAGACGGTAAATATCTTGTAGATCCAATAAGTATATTGATCTTGGAAAATAGAGTTTCTCAAATAATGGACATCTTGATAATGCTCATAAGAAATCACTCTGATACTCTCCTTGTAATGTAACATATTAGATACGATGAGACAAAATTGAAACAACAGGTCATTTAGAATTTGTGTCCTAAATATCTATCGGTAGGGTGCCAAGTTGTTGAATAAGAGACCACCGGTTACAGTAGTGGAACAGGTCACTTTAAATTTCATACATTGTGCATGTAAATGAAGGTAAAGTTCTGAAAACATATTCACGTCCACTTTTACCGTATGTAATGGCGTTTGACGCTTTTGGTTGTAGTTTTATTATGATATAAGTGGAGGTCTGCTTGTATCTTAAGTTATCGAAAAGTTTTGCACCTGACATATTGTATCAAAATACACCTTTTGAAATTGCTTTCTTCATTAAAATGTCGAAAATAATGTAATATATACCGTCGTATATACTATATAATGTCTTCAACCTACCGTCTGCCAAGTTAACAAAAAAATTACAGGAAGAAAAATCATATTTGTAAACTACATTGGGCTCTTGAGCGCACAACAGTATATCATAGAACTATTCCTAGAACAGTTAGCTGGAATTGTAGATTTTCCTCCAACACCAAACTTATGTGAGCTTTTCTGTTTACTTTTCCATACAACAATTTGCCCACAAACTAATTTTGAAATAGTGGAGAATATTTGTAGCTCAGGTGGATGGTATTGGTTGTATTGTGTTCTCTGAGCTGGTTTGTCTAATCGTGAAGCTTTCAACGTCCGTCTAGACGACATCATCAGCACTAACTTCATAGAACACAATACAACCAAGTCCATAAACTAAACTTTAACCTAACTGCAGTTGGTAGTTGCATCTTAGTGCTTATAAGATGATGGAGAATATTTGTTGATCGGGAGAATGATTCTGATGGTGTTGAGTTCTGTGAATTAGATGGTTTAATCGTGAAGCAAAAACTTCGGGAAGAAGTTCACGAGTAAACCATCCAGCTTTGAGAACGCAATACCATCATATTCCATGTTGTATCAAAATACTATCTAGAATAAAGTAATTAATGCATTATATTCAGATGGCGTATTTAACAGCAATTAGTATAATGCGAAGTGTCACACATCTTTTGTTTTAACCACCTTTCAATGTATCGGTAATTACCCAACTTATCTGTACGTTTACAACAAGTATCCGAAAACGCCTGCTGGTTTTATGATAACATTTCAAGCTTAGATAGTTTGTTAATCTGTGAGATTCTAAATTTTTTTTCCTGATATTACTTTATTGGTAATCGATTAAATATGCAGACGATGAAGTATAAAGCTAAATTTCATTCCGAATCAGCATTATTTGGAGAAACAGTAAAAAAATAGCGGGTAATAAAATAATTGTGACGAAATGATTTAAAAAGTGTACGTATTTTCTGATGTAGGATCGAACGAAAGAACATTAGATCTTCGTTTACAAATAAAGACCAGACTATTATTGACAGCTGGTAGATTCTAGTGAGCTTGAGAACCAACAATCACTTTCTACGTGTGTTGAATAAACATATTGTTGGAGTGTGAGATAAGATTATCGAAATCTGTATAAGAACTCCATAATCCCTGAAGCCTTTCCCAATTAATCATGGTGCTTCAAAATTTCAATAAAAACCACTTGAATCTGCTTGTAAATACATCTAGTTGTCTGAAAAGGCAAACATCAATAGTCAAGGTCGTTGAAAGTGCACATAAACCGTAGTATTTTGTAGATATTTTAGCGTCGTATTACTACTACTATTATTTTACCGACTTTTCCACTTACTTAGGAGCTGAGTGGCCATCAGGGTGGAATCTAAAGGTGATCGTTTCAGGTTCCACTCTCATGTGGTTATAAATTTACAACTTGAAGGTTTGTGGGGATTTATTTGTTGATTTCAGGCTGATATTCATCATAGACTGACATCAGTTTGAGAAACATTGGAAACCTTGAAGCATTAAACAGCTGTTTCTCCCTAGTATGGGACTCCTCAGAGGGGCGCACGCATGACCCAACCAGGAACAGAATACCGAACTTTCAGGTTCTCCTGACAGCACGTTACGACTGAGCCGCTGGGTTGGAATCCAATGATCCATATTTCATAGTTTGTGCTACAACTGAAAGAGGAAATATGTACCACTGGATACTGACCCAACAGCTCAATTGTAACGTGCTGGCCGCGTAACCTGCAGGTCTTGGGTTCGGCCTTTGACTGGTCGTGGGACGCACTGCTGAGGAGTCCCGTACTAGGATGAAACAGCTGTTTGATACCCCCAGGTTTCCAATAATTTGGTAACTGGTGTCAGTTCGCAATGATATATATATATATATATATATATATATATATATATACTTAATGAACACCGTAACACAAGATGGTTTAATGCATAATGATAAAGTGAATGAGACTTTTAATCTGATGTTGCAGTTGACTAGTTACTCAAAAACTGCTTACTGGTTTTCACGATGTAGTTTTATGCATGCAGTAACCTAGGAGTTCACAGTCTCTATTTGTAATTAAAAAATATATGTAGTGCGTTATTTTCTTCTAATGGTTATATAACATGGAAAGATATATCTGTTTAAGACGACAAAAGTTTAGACACAAAAGGGGAAACTGAAAGAATTATCAGATAGGTTTTGAGTGATATTTAGAAATATGATCAGCTAATAACCTTAGAGAAAGTCAAGTCCCGTCTTAGATCCAAGCCTTATTCCCTTGATTGTTACACATCTATCTTGTCAGTGACTATCAACAAACATGAGTTTAAAGATCTTTGTCGATTGGTTCAAATAGTTAGTGAGTTTCGTTACAGTATCATCTGGCCTGTTGATCACATAAGAAAATCCTGTGAGAACTATGAAATTACAAGTTATTTTAATTAAAATCCTATAATTTATATACTTACTGGTTCTTCAGACAAAAAAATGAGAACAACTTACATCATGTTGAAGTGGTGAGTTCCATGATGGATTATTTAACAAATAATTAGTTGATGCAATTGACGCTGACAGAAGATCATCTGTTTCGATTGCATTCGACTGATGTAAATCATTATTTGGTATAAATGATGTACGTTGTTTTCTACTTGATGATGGAATAGTGGTCTTTGCATTGTTATTGATGTCACTGTTAGGATAATTGAGATATTGAGATACAGTAGACGCAGTTTGAAGTGTTTTTGTATCATGTTGACAAAATGTACATTTCTCTTCATTAAAACTGTAGAAAATAAAATGATAAGATTGCTTTACACTAAATTTTATTTAACTGAATTTTGAGGGAGTTGTGGAGATTTAGAAATATTTCAAGTTGTTATTCATCGTAGACTGGCATCAGTTGGAGGAACAAAGGAAACCTGGAAGCATTGGATAACTGTTTCCTCTTAGTATGAAACTCCTCAGTAGTGCGCACCCATGACCCCATCAGGGATCGAAACCGCGACCTTCAGGTTCCGCGGCCAGTGCGTTATTATTGAGCCACTGGGCCAAAATCCAATGCTCCATATTTCCAACTTCTGTTAGCTTACGATATAGCGCAACCACCACCCAATGTCATCATTGAGTAGCTGTTTTCAGGTTTTACCCCCACTGGTCACGACTTCTCATTGAGCACCACTTCAATTGAATTTTGAGGAGTTGTGAAGATTCAGAACTATTTCAAGTTGTTATTTATCGCAGACTGACATCAATGCGTGCACACTGCTGAGGCATCCCATACTAGGACGAAACAGCTGTCCGGTGCTCCCAGGTTTCCTTTGTTCCTCCAACTGATGTCAGTCTACGATGAATAACAACTTGAAATAGTTTATTTAACTATTAAGACCTTGGGTGACAGTCGCGCTATGTCGTGAATTGACAGAAGTTGGAAATTGTGAACCACTGGAAACCAACACAGTGGCTGAATGGTTAACGCGTTCGCCGTGGAACCTGAAGTTCCTGAGCTCGACCGCTAGCCGGGTCGTGGGTGCGTACTGCTGAGAAGTCTCATTCTAGGGCGAAACAGCTGTCCAGTGCTCCCGTATTTTCAATGGTTCCCCAACTGATGTCAGTCCATGATGAATACTACTTCTATATTAAAAAATCCCCATTCATCTCAAAAATACATAACCATTGAGTATTAAGTAACACCTGACTCATATGATAAAATGGTGTTTTTTTTTATATCCACACTTACAGCTATGATAATGGAGATGGTGTATTTCTTGAACACCATCAGTTATTGCAGTACAGATATGTATCTCCATCTGACAAGTCCCAAATAAGACGAGACAGAAGTCCTGGATTCCACTATCAGTCAGCACCAAATAAAGTTTTTGAACTCGATTATCTAGCTAATTCAAACATTCGCTATGCATTTACCGCCTAATTTGTAGTTAGTATTACTGATGTAGAAAAATTTCTCCCATATCTTACTTACTACTGATAGTTTTCACGATGTATCAGTCTTCGATATATTATTCATATCTAAAAACTAGTAAGTTCAGTAATTATACAAAATCAGTAGGAGAAAACACAAGCTTATTTTGTTGGGTAAATTATACTTAATTTGACTATCATGATACTTCAAAAGATTTTCTATAGATAATGTCATGTCGAAGTAGAACGATAGTTTATGCAAATCTTCCTTCTCTTTCATCAATTTGAATTAGCAGTAAAAAGAATGTCAGTAGCAGAACTAATGGTGCATGTATTTCGTGAATTCTCTTCAGCTGTTTTACAACCTATAGAATAGAATGTTTGTGATTAAAAAAAAAAAACATGATATGCAACGTACTTTAAATTTTCACAAAAGTTTTGAATGAGATGAAAGACAACACAGATTAACTGAAATCAGTGGACTGTTCAATGGTTATTTATCTATAAAGTGATAGAATGAACTGTCTAGGGTAGATAAGAACAATCGTACGGGTTGCCAAAAAATGACATTATGTTTTTGAGGGGGTTGTGGAGATTTGGAAATATTTCAAGTTGTTATTCATCGAAGACTGACATCAGTTGGAGGAACAAAGGAAACCTGCGAGCACTGGACAGCTCCACAACCCCCTCAAAATTTAATTGAACTAGTGCTCGTTGGTGACTAGCTTCGAGAAGTATTCCCAAAGTTCCAATGACAAGTCGTGACCGGTGGAGTCAAAGCCTGATGGTCGTGAGGACAAATACTCAACGATGACATTGGGTGGCGGTTTGTGCTATATCGTGAGCTAAGAGAAGTTGGAAATATGGAGCATTGGATTCTGACCCAGTGGCTCAATGGTAACGCGCTGGTCGCGAAACCTGAAGGTCGCGGTTTCGATCCCTGCTGGTGGGGTCGTGGGTGCGCACTGGTGAGGAGTCCCATACTAGTGTGACGAAACAGCTGTCCAGTGCTCCCAGGTTTCTTTTGTTCCTCCAACTGATGTCAGTCTACGATGAATAACAACTTGAAATGACATTATGATTGCGTAAGACTACTAATAGATTACCCATATTTTTATGATATTGTTTAGTAAAATGAAAGTAGGTTTTGAAATAGATATCAAAAAGTAAAGTAAAAAATAAAGACGGTCAGAAGGTTGTGGAATTTAGTAGTTACAGACTTTGGAGATCAAAATTACCAAGGTATTTTTTTGAATACATAGGTCAGGATTGAATCCTTTAATTGGAATCCCCGCAACAAAGTGCCAAAGGTTGAGTTTCAGTTGTTTATTGAACAACCAATAAAAGACAAGTCAGTGAAGAACATTTTCTTCGAAATGAATTACTTTCAAAAGCTTTACATTGTAATCATTATTATATATTATTTGTCCTTTGGGTTCCTAGTGGAACATATGGCTTCAGTAACACGTCTCCAGTGCACTCTTTTCTCTGAAATTTTTGAACCTGGTTCCACGACAGCCCATGATCTCCTCCATGTTACATTCACCTCGGACACCCAACTCGTCGTTTCCCATCTGGGTCCCACTCGATGGCTTAGCATGGCACGTGATATCTCCAGTCGGCCTTCTCAGTGTGAGCCCAATCCATATCCACTTCATTCTGCTGCATATTTGTTGAGCAATAGGTTATTGGTTGGTTCGCTGACACCCAGACAGAGTTCCTTGTTGCTTATTCTTATACTTCTGGCCATCTGAGCCTCAGTACCAAGCCAGTGTAGGTGGTAGTTGTTGATGAATGTGTGTAGTTTGTTAGAAATGCCTTTCGTAACGCGCCAAGTCTCTGAACCATACAGGAGCACTGACTTGACGTTGGTGTTGCAAATCCGGATCTTGTTCTTAATGCTGAGTGCAGCAGATCTCCACACTGATTTCAGGCTAATGAAGGCCTGTCTTGCTTTTCTGATTCTGACTTTGACATTGTAATCATAGTTCAAACAAAATGTGTATCCAATCAAAAAACTGATTCTAGGGTGTGTAAAGGATACACTACCATTTTGGACCACTTTCATGTATGTTTATCAATCCGCCTGTCCTTGTGAAACTGGTTACATAGGCGGCAAAAGGCGTGTCCCATCCAAACATATTTTCGAACACTATCCTGTTTGACTGTCTAAAGGATAGTGCAAAATCGTCAACAGCTTGATTCTCGAGGATTTGTTTATCTCGTGTCACTGTGCTCCTCAAGAGTTTTCTTTCAAAGACATTTATGAGGTAAAGGTAATATTTAAAAGGGAGTACGTATTCGCCACTTCAATATACCAGAGTCTATGGCATTCAAGTATTACACGCTTGCCCTTTGTGCTCAAAAAAGGCAAATTTAACCTCTTATTTTGCCTTGGTAGTAATCTCCTTAGTAGAGTTTATTCAATTCATGGTTAATTTCTTGTTTACTCCTCATAATCCTATGATCAATTTTTGATAATCTTAATTTGACCTTTTAGCTGTTATCAGTATGTAACTCTATTGACCGTTTTCGATGACTTTTATACTGACTTATTGGTTATTAATGGAAAGGAAAAGTCTCTTCGCTGAGTTGTCGTTTACTGATTACTTTGAACGATTTAAATACGTTGACATTATGCCCAGTGTCAAGTAAATAGCAACCGACTCCTCTGTTTAAATCCGATGAACCCTTGAGACTGAAATTCTTTAGGATACTCTCAGAAATGTGAACAAGAATCCTTTTCTCTAATCATTCAATATATTTACTTTCTCATGTACATGTGAATTGGTAAATACAGTTGAAGGTGCCAAAAGTTGGGGACTTATCCACTTTGATTTATCTCAATGACTACGAAATCTTTCGGTTTACGAGAGTGATAGTTTTCTTTAGTATATCAGTTGGTTTACAACTAGAAGTAGGACATATGTACTTAAGGATGAAATTCAACAAAGTGATAATTATGCAATACCTATGGGTTTGACATTGCAAAAGTTAAAATTTTTTTAAACTTAACCAAACTATTAATCATTTCTACATCTGTGAAAGATACAAGAATGATACATATATCGATATGGGTGACATCCTACGCGAATTCAACACGTGTCACTCAGCTATGGAATTCATTAAAAGAGGGGGAATCGGAATCAGCTATTCATTTCCTTGAAGTGCTTATTACGAGACAAAGTAATGGGAAACTAAAAGGATCTATCTAGAGAAAACCCATGTGGAACGGATAGCTTACCAATTTCTACAACTGAGTGACAATCGGAAGGAAAAGAAACCTCATTCACTCACTCCTCTATCCGATACAAAATATTCGTAGAACAGACTGTATACAAGCTGAACTTCAGTTCTTAAAAAGTATATTTGTGGATAAAAAGCTATACTAGCCTGTTGGTTGATAAAAATATGGGAAAAGATTTCTAAAAAGACTTTTTCCATAAATCTGGAATATAAAGGTGATGTACTATCAAGCATCCTGAAAACGTGTCTTTCGATATCAATTAGGAGTATATTTTTCGGAGCCAAACTTCACTTGACCATTACCAGTTGTAAATTATACTCTATCTGTGTAAAAGACAATAATCTTCAACAGGCTCCCACCATGTGCATCAACCAGTTCACCTCCTCCTGTAGAGCAAGATACGTTGAACGTGGTTAGAAATTGCTGTAAACACGTATGTGCCAGCATATCCAAGCTTGAATTTAAACAACAAAAGGAAATGCAACAAGAGTTCTATCGTTAAACATCTAATCGATTTCAGTTATTCAGCCAACTCAGACAATGGCTTTAACTTCATTACGTAGTTAATCGTATGGTGTCAGAGCACTGTATCGTTTCATATTTATTTTATTACTTGTACCTTGGGTTCCTAGTAGAATATAGGGTTTCAGTAGCATATACTCATTTTCAACATAGCTCCATGGCTGCCCAAGACCGTTTTCATTTCTTCCTCACCCCATTTGCTCCATGTCACTCACGGCTCGGACACCCAAATTATCGTTTCCCATTTAGATTCCAATCGAAGGCTTGGTCTGGTCTGACGCGTGATGTCGTCAAATCATCTTCCCAGTATATGTCCAATCCACTTCATCTCTACGTTCTTCTGCTGCATATTTGTTGGGCAATAGGTTCTTGGTTGGTTAGTGTTGAAAATCCAGATCTTGTTCTTTATGTAGTAGATCTCCACTCTGATTTCACGTCAATGAAGGCCTATCTTGTCTTTCCAATCCTGGCCTTGACGTCTTCATCTGTGCCTGTGCCCCCTGTAGTCGAGAGGATGCTGCCTATCTAGGCACGTGAAAGAGACTATTTCCTTCAAATTTCTCACGTCGATAGTGATCGGCGCTTGTTGTTGTTGTTGCTGTTGTCGTTGGTTGGATATCTTCATCTGTCATCTCTGTCTTCTCTACGTTCACCTGGAGGAAGTCCCATCTTCCTTCGCTGCCTCACCTCTTCTGCCAACTTGTTAGTTTTCGCCTTTAGATTTTCGAGTTTGTGCGACAAGACAGTTAACATAAATCATCATCGGTGAAATTCAAATTATCTTCTGAGGTCTTTTCATCATTCCAGCCAGCGTATTCCCATCTTCTCGCTTACCACAGTTTTTTGCGTGAAGCAATTTAGTCCAGTTGACCACAATCTGGAAGATAATTGATGATAGTGGGCGGTAAACTCGTCTTACTCGTATCTTCAATTTGAAGGCATCACTGAGTTTTTCATTGTGAATCACTTGGTAAGTAGCATCGTCATCGTCATTACGATTATTTATTCTGCTTCATTCAAAATTTTGAAAAGTTAAGACTTATGGACATTAGTTTATCATCTATGGGTGGTTGCACTTTCTCGTTGTTACACTAGAATGACTTGATCGGTATCTATTGGGATACATGCCCCTATGTGACGGCTTCAGTTGCCCATGAAGAGTTATTGTCCTGTTATTTGTTTGGTGGTGGATAGTAGTGTGGAATTGAGAACACGTGTATCACTATGCTAAGGATTCGTTATCTGGATTCACCTGCACCCCACTGCTAGCAAGCACCAAGTAGGCATCACTTGATCGTAGTTTTTCACTCATAAGTAAAAATAACACGTTTTTTAAAGATTTTTTTAACTTCTTATACATGCGAAAAGTGAACATTCTTCACTCACAGGCGGTCATGACACCCATGACTTCTGTGATCTTGCATAGATCATGACTTAAATGCAACACATACACTAGGCTTCTATTTGGATGGCTAAAAATCATACTGGGAAGCAATCACAATCAGAATAAATTGGAAAATAAGATAAAGTAAGCGACTTTTAGCCTGATACACATATCAATGATAAAATGGATTTTGACTGTTTCTCCGAAGAAACTCGAAACAGGCTTCCATGAGGATAGTGGGAATGATTTCTTTCAAACAAGCTGATATCTATACAAATGCAACTAAAAATATGGTTCACAGTCATCTTCAATAAAATTTACCTTGAAATAGCTGTACCATTCCAGCATTGATCATGTCTTCCATTGAGTAATGCAAGATAAGGTGATTCTGAGCAGAGAGCTGTGCCAGATCGTGACCAAACACTTGTAATATCATCCATCTAATGAAGTAAAACAAGAGGGTAAATTAACTATGAAAAGACTGTTCAAGAATTATTTAAACAATAAAGATTCTTTAATTTGAGTTTGGAGGCTTGTAGAGATTCTATTGATTTCAAATCTGTAATCATGATGAACTGACATCAGCTGGAAAATCATTGAAAGCCTGAGAGCAATAGCAGCATGTTTGCCCTGGCGTGAGACTCAGCAGTGCACACCTATGACCTCAACAGAGCACACTACTATTAAGTCGCTGGATTGGAACCTAATGGTCCACGTTCTTAACTGCTGTTTGTTCGCTACCTTCACCCAATACTGCTGTTGAGTATTTGTTTTTATGTCCCATATGGTTTACGCTGCTAGTTGCAAATTCTCACTAGAACCTCAGGAAAATCGCATCTCGAAGCAAGTCATTAAGGAGCACAGGACAGCAATTCAATTTGGAAGTTTGTGGGGATTTTATTGATTTAAAATTGGTATTCATCAGTCAAAGTATAACAGTGAATGGTATGCAGAAAGCAAATTTACTCATCTCATAAGGATGTTATCATTGAAGGTGTCTTCTTAAGTCACACTGAGGTGACCTTAGGAATAGATGGTTGTCAAAATGTTGATTGTTTCATGATTCTTTTCAGCAAGATACAACAAATTGGAACCAAGTCTTACTGTTTGCTTGATAGTAGATACAAATGAACTTACTTCTGAATTAGAAAATGAAGAAGGAGAATTATCAATGTTGAACTATAAAATCAAGGTGAGAGAAGATGGAAGCTTAGATATCAGTGTTTATAGGAAACTAACGCATTTGAGTAGATACTTAGTTTCACATCATCATACCTTGTATCTGTCAAAGTAGGCTTGATAAAACGTTTAAGTTGTCGAGTTAAGAGTTTAACTAGTAAGTTGGAAAGCCTAGGTACATCACAGAAACACTAATTCTTAATAAGTATCTTCCGTAATTTATTGAAAACGTTTATAAGAGAAGAATAGGTAAGGTTAGTGGTGACTGAAAGAGCCGATTAAGAAAAGTAACTCAATACCATGTAATGATTGTGAGGTTGAGTAAATAACGTTAGAGCAGCTGATCTGGCTTAGTCAGAATAGCAGAATACAATCAGTTGGCGAAACATACGGTTGTTGAACCTGGTAAGATAAATGAATTGCAGAGTAACTCAGCTATTGCTCTACATGCACTGACCCATAATCATACTGTATGGTGAGATAGGGTGACAATTCTAAAATCCAATATAACTAGGTAAAGGGAGAGATTAATCACAGAATCTTTTTTCATCGAATCCATACCTAACACAGGAATGGTTCATCACACATTACAGATATCTGTTAAGTTTGACTACCATTAAGATGAAAGAACGAACAACTGTTGAACTATGTAAAGAAAGTCTGAAAGTCGCATGATTACTTCGATATGAGTATAAGCTTGAAACGTCATCAAGTAAAGTATACTGTATTACAGCGGAATACACCCATTTGATCATAGGAAAAGACAAGATGTGGTTTCAGAGAAGAAAAATGTTTCTTTTCGACAAAGTCATTTTATAAGCTGTACATTCGTGAATGTATGTTGCAGTGGGCAGAACGTTCCAGAATTGTTTTCGGTTAGGGGGTAAAGTATATTGAGTAACGGAAGGAAATTAATTAATACACATTTGTATCCTCAGCCCCACAAAAGCAAGTAAACTGGCATACACACATTGTGGAGCTGAGTATATCGGTCGTACCATGTGTCCAACAAACTACAGATATTCATCAACAACTGCCGCCTACGCTAGCTCGATACTGAAGATCAGATGGCCAGAACAATAAGAATAGGCAACAAGGAACTCTAGGAATGAACCAATCAAGAAACTATCACTCAACAAATATGCAGAAGGAAGTGGAGATGGATTGGGCATACACTGAGAAGGCCGATTGGAGACATCATGCTCCATGCGAGGCACTGGAGTGGAACCCAGATGGGAAACGATGAGCTGGGCGTCCGAAGTGAGTAAGACATGGAGGAGATCATGCGAGGAGGAAATGAGATCTTCTGGGTTGTCGTGGAGCCAGGTTCAAAAGATTTCAGAGAACAGAGCACATTGGAGACGTGTTACTGAAGCCGTATGTTCCACTAGGAACCCAAGGGACAAATGATAATAATAATAATACCATGCGTCCGCTTGCAAAACGTGTCCGCGAACACTTCTCAGCCTAGCTTGCAAATGGAGAACGGAAATATATCTTCAGTTCAACAACAGAACAACACATGAACTCAGGTCACTTGGCTCCTTTCGAGAGCTCATTCAAAATTCTCTACAGGGTTCGATCAAACCACTCGAAGGGAGTAAAATCAAGGCATCTGTCTATAGCTGAAGAACTAGCGATCCAGAAGTTCAAATCAGCGTTATGCGTCCAAAAAAGGTACGTCCAACCTTTATCTTTGCCATGGCCATCATAAAGCCTTGTCTGTAATACATTCATTTTGTATTAGGTAAATGCACATATATTTCCTTCATACCTTATTCACTCTTCTACTCTGTCATAGATTTCACCTGAAATACGTAATTGCAACCTTATTTTCAGGATATCCTGTTTACTTTCATACTCTATCATAGGTTTATCTGGTATTACATAACTGCAATTTTATTTCCACAACCCTTCGTTCAGTTTCCTACTTTGCCATACATTCATTCTGTATCACGTAATTACATTTAATTTCATAATCCCTTGTATGTTTTCCCACTCTAAATGTGTACAAATTAACTTCCTTTAGTTACTCAATATATTTTACCCCTAACCGGAAACAATTCTGGAACGTCCTGTCCACTGCAACATATATTCACTAATGTACAGCTTATTAAATGACTTTGTCGAAAAGAAACATTTTTCTTCTCTGAAACCACATCTTGTCTTTTCCTATACTGTATCACTGTGTGCTAACCTTGCCTGGTTAATTAGTTCACTAGGTACTAGCCGGGACTAAGCCTGGATAACCAGGAAAGGTTGCCATAGGGCTAGAAACCCTATTCCATAAAACCAATCCAATCGCTAAAGAAACTTCAAAGCACAGATGAAATATAAAAAATAAAAATAAACCTATTCCTCTCTGGAATCGGGGAGACAAATGTGCATTCCCTCCCTCGATGAAAGCAAAAGAAAGCAATCGGGACATAGAATGTCCGCACAATATTTGAAGCTGGCTGGCAAGACTGTCAAGATTGCCAAAGAGATGAGGAGGTATAGCATGGAAGTGCTTGGAATTTGCGATAGCAGGTGGAATGGAAGTAGACTCTCCAAACTGTCAACTGGAGAGTCAATAATCTACTCCAATATTGTCACCCAGACGACAACCACGAGCACAGCACACTGAGCATCGTAGTGGCTATCATGATGTCCCCAACAGCATCGAAGGCTCTCTCCCATGCAGTGAAAACCAATCTCCTCCTCAAGGATGAGGATCATGACAGCAAGATTCAACTCAGAAGGAATGAAGGAAAGTCACAATCATACAATGCAACTCTATGCACCTACAAATAATGCAGATGAAGAGAAGAAGGAGGAATTCTACAGACAACTAGAATCAGTACTGCAGAAGACCCCAGATGGCGATGGCGACAGCAAACTTTTAATGGTTGGGGTGACGTGAATGCCAAACTGTGAGCGGAAAACACAGGAAGAGAAATCATCATGGGTCGAGAAGCACTTGGTAAAATGAACGAGAATGGAGAACTTTTTGGAGACTTCTGAACATTCAACGATTTGGTGATTGGAAGTAGTGTACAAGCACAAGGATATTCACAAAGCGACATGGATTTCACAAGACACCTGGACATACTACACTAAAAATCAGATCCACTTCATTTCAAATTTAAGAAAGTCGAGACGCAGCCTACTGGACACAAGATGAAGAAGAGGAGCAGATGTAGGTTCATACCAGTCACTACCTAGTGCAAGGAATCTACCTTCAACATCCAGTTGAAAGCCTTCACAGAAGTTGGTAATAGACCACAGTTCAAGTTGATCACCCAGAACAAAAACTGAAGGAAGAAACTACAAAAGACATCTTCACGTTGTCAGAGGTCAGGACAAAATGGTAGACATTGAGAAACATCTCTGAAGTAATCTGCGTCAAAGAAGACTGGAACTGTTTGAAAGAGATGTGGAAAGAAACCTGCATAACCATTTCAGGAAGCAAGAAGAAGCAATGCAGGACAAGAAATGGATCTCGATGGACACATGGAAGCTGATAGAGCAGGGACAGGAGGATGGTGAGACAAAAGATAAACCAATGCAAGGATGCATAACATGAAGAGGAACTGAGTACAACGTATAAAACACTGGACAAAGAAATGAAGAAGAATGCGTGCAAAGGCAAAAGACACTTCTACGACACACTGCCAAGTGAAGCAGAATAGGCTGCTGGTAGGAGAGACAGAGTCCTGAAAACACTGTATAAAATAACCAGGTTGTCATCTGAGTGGGGAGAGATCAACACAGATGGAACCAATGAAAGATAGTGAAGGAAACTTAGTTAGCAAAGAGGAGAAACAAAGGAAACGACCAATTCGAAAAACTATAGAACTGACCATCACCACCACATGGAACTCGTCGAGAAATACCACCAGTACACCAGCCACGGAATTACCAGTGAACACAAGCCCCCCGACAAAAGCCGAAGTCCTGAACGCCATAATGTTGCTGAAATCCGGGAAAGCAGCAGGATCAGATGAAATTCCTCCAGAAGCACTGAAAATAGACGTTGAGACATTAACGGATATGTTATCATCACTACTGAAGAAGGTTTGTAAGGAAGGGAGGAAAGGAACCTGGAGAGTGGATGAAGGGGTACCTTATCAAACTCCCGAGGAAAGGTGACCTAATTCTTTACAAGAATTGACAAGGAATCATGCTGCTGTCCACTCAAAGCAAGCAGAATATTAACCTGCATCATCCTGGAAAGACTAAAAGATGCTCTGGACTCAAAATTATGACGGAAACAGGCTGC